ATACTAGTTGGACAGAGATCAGTGTTGGACTTCGGTGGTAAGAGGCTGTGGTACTTACCGGGTTCGAGACTTGGAGATTGTTGGGGATGATACTCGGCTGCATCACAGATTGGACACCGGGCCTGAGCATCGTCTGTGCTTGGCTCAGACCCCAACATTTCACGATTGTTTGTGTGTGGAGTGATATCTGTGTGAGTCAGTCTATGTGAGTCAGTCCATTATCAGACTTCCGCTGCATACATGCTCATCCTATATTGGTTGATCTTTGGTTCTGCCCCATACTCGTTGAAGTATTCGCGAGTATGTAACAGTAGAGGAGAGTAGAGTAGAGTAGAGTAGAGTCGAGTGAGTGGGTAGGGGGGCTGGGGGGTGCGTGAGTGAGTGTATTCTCTTTTTTTCTTTTAATAAGTGAGACAACCACGGGCAGGGGCTGCAACAAATAGAAACAAAAGGAAACGACACACCAGAAATGAAAACGAAAAACAAAAAAAAAACGCAAAACAACATGCGAGAAAAAAAACAAACAAAAAAAACAAAGGAAACAGCACACAGGAAATGAAAACAGAAGAAAAAGAAAGGCTTAGCCTGCCGGCTTATCGGATGGTTCACCTCCAAGATGTTCATCCGCATCAACGCCGCCCGTGTGCCCCCCCCCGGGGCGCGCTGTGAACATCTCGGTACGCGCGGCCCTCTGCACACTCCCTCGTCCTCGATCCCCTTCATCCGCCGCCCCTCACCAGAACTTCCACCCAAATCCGGCGCGCAGTGCGTCATGGACTTCCCCCCGCGGCCAATGCTGCTTAAGGGATAGGATGTGAACCAGGGGTTGTACCTGGGTAGGTTAGGGCCTGTCATAGGTTAGACCTTGGCCATGGCCATTGGATACTGCCTTCTGGAGCTCAGGGAGAAATATTTAGATGTTTAGAGAGATCCGAGCGCTGACCTTTGGGGGGCAGCGCCCAAAGTACCTATACAACAGGGCTTGTCCAAATATGCTTCAACAGGGCTGAGTGAGGTTGAACTTCGTGCTTACGGCTGGTGCCTGCAACTGCTGTCTGGTCAGGTCACCCCACAAAGATGGTGGAAGGGTGATTGTCCTGAGTGGTAGACACTGAGGTAGACTGGGGGAGTGAGGGTCCGGCAGGGAGAACTTACAAAAAGGAGGGGGGGGGGGGGGGGGGGGGGGGGGGGGGGGGTCACGGTGAAACTGCGGCTGAGAGGTGGGGATGAGATGAAAGGACGAAGGAGGGCCACGTCTTCCAAACCAAAGCGCCAAGCCTTGTTGGTTTTTGCCAGAAACGAATTAAAGAAATAACAGTAAGCCAAAGGCAAAGGCACCAGCTACCAACCGGGGCAGCTCAGTACGTACACCCCTGAATTCTTGAAATACAGACCGGAGCTCGAACTCCAGTAGAAAAAAACACCGGTAAGCCAAGGGCAAAGGCACCAGCTACCAACCCGTGGAGCTCAGTAGGTACACCCCTGAACTGTTGAAACACAGACCTGAGTTGAAACAGACGCGGCATGTTTTAAAACCCAAAAGGCAAAAAAAACATGCGCCGGCAAAGACACCACGCGCCAACTCGAAATGAGCGATTTTGGTCCAAAAGTATCCGTTATGCTTTTTTTTTCTTTTTTTTTTTCCCCTCCGACACCACGGCCCAACCCTGTAAATATGACACCCGGTCTGACACCACGGCTGTCGGTACTTCCATTGCCTTTTCAAACTCGGTGCGGTTTTCTTTGCGGATGCGTGTTTTTTTTGCCCATTCGATACTCAAAGGTGACATAATGTACTCACCCCCCCCAAAAAAAAAAAAAAAAAATGGTAACACTGAAGTACTAGGGCATGCACAAAAGTCCAAAACAATTGGCAGTGTCTAATGGCCAATATCATTGCTGCACAGCAACCATAGAGTAGCCAGAGGATGAGATAGATGGGGAAAATATGTACAAAGAAGATTGAGAGAAGAATATAGATTAGTTTTATGAAAAAAATTAAAAAAATAGATGGTGGTGTATCTGGGCACTTCTAGCAGAAGATTCATTCTCATTTTGTATCTTTGGTGAGCACTGGAGCCAGGCCACAGCACTGTCAAAAACCTCAGAATCTTGACTGCCGTCAGAAAAAACTCGAACAGCTTCCCTTTCGACAGTTCCCCCACTTCTGCCACACAGCACTGTTCAAGTGAAGAACTCACAAATCCAAGTGCAAAACAGACAACCCGGCCGGCGTATTGGAGAGGCATTCGTCCATTCCCACCTCAGTCCCATTCAAAAATTTCGGAGAAGCGTCGTTTGAAAGGAGGTGCTGAAACACTTTCCTTGACAACACGAGAATCTATGGGGCTCGCCACACAGGCTTTCGAAACGAGCAAAATCGAGGCCGTGTCTTCGCCACACAGCCTTTCGAAACCAGTTCTTTCGAAAAAGTTTCGAAAGGTGTCAGATGGGCCGGCGTCAAAAGTCTTTACGAACAGATGAGATCCTCCCGCCTGTCACGAGCCTTTCCTCGGAAGACCTCGAGTGGTCTTTTGAAAAGGCCCACTCGAAACGGTTGATCGGTCGGCAAAAAAAAAAAAAAAAAAAGGGGCGATTCCAAGGCCCTGGCTCCACTACTCTCGACATGCACAAACGACAAAAATTATGGCGA